CGCAAATTCAATCCTGAATTTTGGAATTTCACCTTTTATTTCACTTTACATTATCATTCTGTCTTTTTTTAATGTATTCAGTACCAGACTGCAACATTTTAAATAACTTTTTAATTTGATATGGTTTTGTTTTAACATTGTAAAACTATGGGCAATTACTGGCTTGCATTGACAGAAAACCAGCTTGAACCATCATTTCACACTGTCCCCTGAATCCTATTCAGTGGAAAGCCATTGCCTTGGGCGCAGAGATGAGATTTTGAGGGAGAAGATACTTGGGGGGAGGGAGATGGCAAACACTAAGCCGCCTGCCTTTGTGCACAAGCAAAAAGCTAAGCTAAGAAAGGCTATATCCTGTGACAGCAGGAGGATATCTGGCAGATTGCATTTACTCATCTGCAGAGAACAAAAAATTCCTAGCCACTAGATTAACAGCAAACAGCAAGAGCATTAGTCTCAGTTCAAACACAAGAGCTGGAGGTATTACTTTATGTGAGTGATGGCAGACGCAAAAATTATTAAACCAATGCAAGAGGAGTGCATCAGTCATAGCAAAGGACACTGTCGAGCAGATGTTTCTGAGGCAAAGATGAAACTTCCAAGCAAATGTCTCCATCATAGGTATTAAATCAGTGGAAAAACTGACAAAAGCTGTGTAAAATGAGAAAACAGCGAGCCGTCACAGCCCTCTTTTGGGTATTGCAAGTTTCATGAGACCTGTTAATGCTGGTTGCAGTAGGCAGCAAAGAAACACCACCTCCAGCAGCACGGAAAGGATGAGGTGGTCAAGGTCTGCTAATCACAGGTGACCACCATCACCTAAGCCATGCCAAAACTGTAAGCTGCATCATTAGCCTTACCTCCCCCCCCCACCATAGTTTCTCCTTTTAATTTCCATAGTGCTCACTGAAAATCCTGCACAGGGCTGAAAGGCCATTTGAAGCAGCTGTCCTGCTCCTCATGCACTACTAGTGCATTAGTCCCTTTGGGAGGGAACATGGTTCCTCAGGACAATTAGTAGATTCAGAAATAGGAATGAGAATTCATGGGATCCAAGATCTAAGAAGGTCAGACCTCCTGAATGTCTGCAGTGGCCACTCCTCAAATGCACCAGGAAATACACCAGGGAGGTCCACCAAACATTGAGAATTTTTCCATTTCCCATTAAAATCATAAATATCAAAGTCTGAATGCAGAAAAAAGCACTTTCAAGTACAAAAATACCCACCAAAGCCAATCACTCTGTCTGAGATGTTACTAGACAAAAATAGCAAAGGGTAGGGTTACAAGGGACTGAGCCTTCATAGACTCGCATGAATGAGCTAGAATGTAAGCTGCAGTGGATGCTAATGAATTCAGCACCCATAGAGTGCTTTCTCCTCGTCCACAAAGACATGCAGTAGTATCTCAGAAACACTCCAACATAACATTCAGGTTGGATAATGGGAAAAGCTTCTTCCCAGAAGAGTGGATGGGCGTTGGGCTCAGGCTGCCCAGGGAGGCGGTGGAGTCACCGTCCAAGAACGGTGGAGATGTGGCACTGAGGGATGCGGTTTAATGGGAAATAGTGATGGTATGTGGACAGTTGGACTAGATGATCTTAGAGGTCTTTTCCAATCTTAACAATTCTGTGATAACCAAAACCAGTGAAAGGACCTAGAGTTATTGGAAGATATGAAGGGTATTTGGTGATTTGGCCAGACGCATTGGTTAATGGAAGGAGCTTCTTCAACTGTTTTGGCCACTAGGCAAACCTTCAAAAATCCTCTGTTCATGGCTTTGCCATTTTTATCCCCCAGCTGTGGGCATCTTTGTGCCAAAAATCATTATACCTAATGAGTCACTCTGGTCTACTGCTTGCTGACTTCTGCCAGCTGAGATGTTAAGAAAGAGCCTTCGCACTTCAGTCTGAAAGGACACAGTACCACTGCAAACAGCATGAAACCAGCCCACTGTATCACAAGTTTCTGCGATGGCTTTGTAACAACTCTTGTACCGTTCAGAGATCACTATCAGCAACCAAGAAATCTACTGAGATTTCTGGCCAGGAATGCCTTCAAAGTGTATGAAGGTTTGAATGAGGACATGCACTTCATTTGTTCATTTCCTAAATAGAACTTGGGCATTAATGCTAAGTGCAATGCAACAAAGAACTAAATGCAGAGAGGTTTCACATGCACAACTCTCACTCCCAAAAGTGGCCCAAGGACAGAATGCACCAGAGATGTCTGTGACTAAAGCACATTGTTCTCAGTGGGCCTTAAGAACCCATAGAGATTATTTGCTGTTCCCATACCAGTCCAGATTTATTTGGGATCAGCAGGGACATCAACATAATTAGTGCACAGTAGACAGCACAGAGCCACAGTATTGTTGATCTTTTTCTAGACAGAATGCAAAATATAAATCAAGGTGTTTTTTGATCATTACAAATCCTAAATGAATTGAATGAAAAAAAATCCTACTCAGTGACAGGTTCATGATTGATGTTAGAATTAAAGCTCAAGAATTTCTAACCTGAGATGGATTTGTTAAGATTTCTTTAATATTTTCTGCACAAAATGTGTTCAAAATTAAGAATGCATTTTTCTGAATACATTTGGAAACAATTCAGTATTTTAAGATGACTCCATTGCAAGAGGAAAAATATCTAAAAGGTACTCTTGTATTTTAAACAATAACACCTGCTTTTTAAATCATTCTGGCTTCTCAGTTCATTCTCCTTAACTGAGAGACCTCAAACCAACCCTGAAAAGGCAGAACACAACATATTTTCATGTAGAAAACCGATTCTGATTTCTGTTGTGCTGTAGCCAACAAGTAGATTTATAGCAATTATTCTCCCTATCAGAACTAACAAAGCCTTCCATTTTTTCTTCCTTTTAAGTAAGTCCAAAAGTTGATTTTATGAATGAGACTGCAAAGGAAGAGAAGAACACTCAGTAAAACCGGACAATACAGCTTCACTGGCAAAGTCCACACTGCTTTATTGCTGAGCACGTCCTACCGGACTGCAAGATCTTCAATTCTTCACCAATTAAACTGTGCATTTTACAAAGCAGCAATCAAAAAATTTGCACCACCATATTAGAGAACCATTGTAAGTTCAAAGGTGAAACAGGCAGTAATGCTGATTTCAGGAGGTTAGAAGAGAACTAAGTTCTGGAGAAATTTATCACCAAGCAGATCATAGTCTGTTTTGCAGAAATACTTCAGTTATTTTTATAGAGATGTGCACTTACAATTTTATATGTGTATTTGCAAATGTCACGTGCACGCGAACATGTATGTAAATATATATCTATCTATGTGTACGTGAAACCCCAAACTTGAACTAAATTAAATTGTCCCTCCAGCTTTGTAATGCAAATGAGACTTGTGCTGTTTGTGGTTCAAGATGATTTGCGTTTCCATAGAGATGCCGACTGAACTAAAGTTTTTAATTTTTTATACGTATAAGCCTATTTGTATCTACACAAGTCTAAATACGTATCTGCTATAGCTCAGCATTTCTGCAGTGACTCCACTGGAAGCACACCAATTTACACCAGTTAAGGCTATGTGCAAATTTCATACCTCTCACTAGTTTTCAATCTAAGCTCTGTACCAGGCACCTGCAGAGTTGACTTTATTGCTTTTCTCCTCACTTCTTGGTAAGGAAAGGGGAAAAACTCATAGACAGTATTTCAAGGAGTTTTCATTTATTATCCTGCCCTGGCCAGCACTGTGTTCACCACCTCCCCACATGGGCTTGGTGTCTTGGCCCTCAGGTGCAGCCAAACCCCATCATACAGAAGGATCACACAAAGCTGAGGCCCTACAAGCCCCCCAAGCCACATTTGAGGCGACCACCCAAAGCGACATGGGCCGGCCCATGCTGACATCTGGGCAGAGAAGCCAAGCAATTTAACTTTGTTTGGTATCTCCTTTGGTTTATAAGGCCCAAACACACATTGAAGTGATTGGATGCCACTTGCCTTGCTGCCACCTGAGAGGGAAATCAGAGCACCCACAGCACTGTGTGAGAACTCATTTCCATGTGGTTTTTCAGTGATAAGTGATTTTTAAACAGTGACGCACAAGAGGTCAACCTCCGGAATTGCTCTGAACCACAATCAAAAACAGTGCCTTCTGTATCTCCTATCTACATAAGATGAACAAATTCTCCAGTGAGCCAAAGATGCCCACGAGCACTCAGAGGAAACGTTGACTCCCATTTGATCCCGGGAGAGCCCTGAAGGAAAGACCAAGCGCACAGAGACATATTGCTGACGATTGTATCGTGTAAGGGCATGTTGCAGGGATGGAGCTGCTCCCACGCCACAGGGTGAGCTCCTGCAATAACACCAACACTGCTGCCTTACCCTCTGAGGCTGACGTAAGTTGTAAGCCCCCAAAAGCTTATTTCCAAGCCACAAGAGAGCTCCCTGTTTCCGAAAGCCACATGGAGTGAGGCTACTTTCTGTAATCTTCTCCATTTGCTTCCCTTTGTCAAACAAAGGTGTGGCTTACGCACCTATCATCCCACTGATTTCCACAGCAAGCAGTGAAAGAGCCAACCAGCAAGGTCTGAAAACCTTGGCCAGCCTCCCGATGTAGGCATGGAGACATGGGGCAGAAGACATGAGTCGCAGTGACCCCGCTGCTCATGTGCCCTCAGCCCTGACCCTACTGGAAAAAAAGCTGTAGTTGCTTGGGATCCACGCAGTGCCATCTAATCCCATGTGTTGCCTTTGAAGAAGGCTCTTGCATTCCCCTCAGGAATCACAGAATGGCTAGGGTTGGAAGAAACCTCAAAGATCATCAAGTTTCAACTCCATGCTGTGGGCAGAGTTGCCAACTGCTAGATCAAGAACCAGCTCAGGCTGCCCATGGTCCCATCCAGCCTAGCCTTGAGCACCTCCAGGGATGGGGCATCCACAACTTCCCTGGACAGCCTGTGCCAGCACCGCACCAATCTCTCTGTGTAAGGGTGACCAACGAGCGCTGACATCTCCTACCTTTTGCTGCAGTGGCTGCGGGGCCAGCACTGGGTCCGTGATGTAGGTCTTCTTTGTGCCAGGAGGCTGGTACAGCCCAGAAGGAGCCTGGCCCACAGTGTTACCACTAGGATACGCTGGCTCAACCTTCCAGGCGCTCTGTGGCACGTAGGGTGCTTCAGAGCCATTCCTCCCTCCATATCCGCCGTAATACGGGTCCTGGTAGCGGCTTTGCTGAGGTGCATAGCCATAGCTGGGCTCTGAAGGACGGGCAGGCGGTGGGGCATAACCGTAGTCGGGCCCACGGTGCTGTGGTGAGCCATACTGCTGGGCACCGGGCGGGTGGGCCGGTGGGGCTGCATAGGGCTGGCCGGGCCCCAGGCTGCCATAGTGCGTGGGCTGCGGGCCAGGCGGCTGGTAGTGAGGGCTGGGCTGCGCCGTCCTCACCTGGACGTTGAAGGTCGGGCGGCTGGGTGTGGAGGCTGTGGTGTAGGAGGCCGGAACCGGCTGAGGCTTCAGGGTGCCGATGGGCGTGACTGGGATGGGTGCCGGCTGGCCAGGCCCCTTGGCAGTGGACTTCTTGGTGGCGGTGAGGGGAGGTTGGTTGGGAATGATCATCCGCTTGTGGCCGGTGACGGGGGTGGACACAGACGGAGTGGTGGCAGCCGAGCTGGAGGTCCCGGAGCCCTAAGGGTGAACAAAGAGCCGCAGTGTCAGCAGGATGGTTCATTCAGCTTTGGGTCTAAAGAAGAAGGGTTAAGAGGGAACAGGGTCTTACAGCAACATCTGCACAGCAACTCAAGCTGCTTAGGGAAGCAGGAATGCACCTTAAACTATGCATTATAAAATGGTAATAACAACCTTTTCCTGCTCTGACAGAACAGGGACAGTGCTGCTGCAGTCGAGCAGAACTGCCAGCCAGCGCGGCGTTTCTCCTTTGGGTTTCTTCCTGCACCTCAGAACAAACAAACTCAAAAGCAATAAATGTAGGAGGAAAAAGGAGATTTGCAGGAGAATACTTAGCATGGCTAAATACGCGTTTGTGTGGAAATGAGAGCACTCAAGAAGAAGAAAAATGCGATTTAAGTCTCTATGGAGACATGCAATTCTCCAGAGGGTACAGCCACTGATACAGGGCTGCTTCTGACAGCATAGGACAGCAAAACAGGATGGCCTGAAACCTCTGCTTGGAGAGAAGCGTAACACAGAAGTGTCCCTGGCACTGCTCTCAAGCCCTGAAAGTCTCAAGTGACCCCAGCAAAATGTTACACGTGGCACATGGAAGGGCAGAAAGCAGGTTAAGATTCCCAAGGGCTTCAGAAAGCTGATCCTGTGTAACCCTGCACCAGCATCCAGGCCTCACAGCAAGCACTGCCACATCTTGGGACTTGGCAACTAAATGAAGATGTAGCTGAATAAGTATCTTATGTCTTCCTGTCTAATGTACTTGTTTGTTTTTCTCACTCAACTTTATTGTTCAGCCCCATATCCAAAAATACTGGTGTGAAAATGCAGCTTTGTTTAAGAGTTAACAATATGAAATGGTTTCTGAAGATCATCATTAAATCTTTTCACTAAATCGAAGAAGAACAAAATTCTACTCCTAGACTTTGGGATTTGGTAAAATATCTGGCCTCCCTTTATTTTGTTGTATCCTTAAAAGGGTCCTCGAGTTCCATCTCTTCCCATACACTTAAGAATTAAAAGCAACATGAACAGTCTGATGGAATTCTTTTGCTGTTGCACTTAGCATGATGGTTATATCTTATGTAAGCTTTCTGCAGTGGACTCAATCTCACCCAATCCTCTCAGTAACCTGCAAGTTCAAGGGAGCCCTAAATCAGACGAGCTCATCTCATGCCCATGGCAGTGCTCCAACTAAAGCACACATCTCTTTTCCTTAAATGATCAGTTCCTGTATCTGTCCCAAGGTATTCTTGCTCTATGCAGACACTCTGTTCTGCAAACTCTGCCTCATCTCCCTCTTGCTGGACCTGCTAGGCAGGGAACTGAGCAGTGGGGGCTCAGCAGGGGCATCAGAGAAATCCTCTGCCTGGTCAGCAGGTGGCGGCAAGAAATTGCTGCCAAACCAGCTCAGGCCAGTGGCTGGAGAGGACCTTCAAACACCCAACAGACTGAGCCTCCCAGGTTACCAAATCACCACCCAGGTGGCAGCCACCACACGTGAAGGGAGATAAGAGCAAACCACTCAGCTTCTCCTCCACAGCCCACAAAAATGTTTATCAAGTAATAAGGAAGCTCTACTACACAACTGGTAGCTCTTCCCTGGTGACAGGTGCAAAGATGTTTTTGCTGATGCGCTGGTGAAGAACTTACTCCTGCAATCACACCTTCAGGGCAAACCTCCCACAAAGAATGAACAAAACAACAGGCAAATAAGAGCATCAAGCTTGTTTTAGAGATGTAAAAGGTATGCATGCAGAGGAGGGGAAAAACAGGCAGCATAGTTCTGCTAGAGAAAAAAAAATCTTAATGTAGTCAAACCCTGACTTCACAAACAGATCCATGACAAGGCAATAGATAGAAGAGATTTTGAAACTGAGAAGAATGAAGAGCTGAACTATATCTAGGCTTAACTGCAAGGGCAGAGGCAAGTTAAAGGTCTGTAGCCCTTCATTAGTATTGCCCAATTCTTCTGTTCCTGAAACACCTGGTGTGGAGCAGGCATCCCTCTACCTCTTCAGAACACAACTGCACCAATGCTCAGTGCTAGCAAGAAAACTTACTTCTTGAAGCAATTATTCCCTTATGTCAGCTTGGCATTTAGTCCAGGAGTGCTAGAAACTTTCCCATTTCCTCACCTAGTTCATTCTTGTAAATGACAGTAGTTTGTCCACTTACTGTAATGGGATGAAAGGTCCACAATGCAGCACAGTGTAATTACCACCAGAAGAGCTTTTTTTTTTTTCCTCCAGTGTGAACAGGGAGAAGGTAGATAATGTTTTAATGACAAGGGCACATCAGTGGGGAACAGGAAAGCCCGAAACAAAACGTAATTCAGCTCTGTTTATCACATCTTATGTTTCTGAATGCAGACTCTGAAAGCAGATTATGACAGATTCCCAGTAAAACTCTCACTATAGAAGTCTGTTCCACCAAAAACTGGTGGATTTCATTCTTGCATTATTAGCATCCAGATAAAATATTTCACGTGTTGGTGTCAGTCTCCTGACAGAACTGGAACACACCTTAGGAGTGATAACCCCTTCCTCCAAAATAACCTTTGATGCCTATAGAACAGTACTCTGAGGGGATCTGAGCAACTTTCACACCCCACACCAACAAGATGTGCTGAGTCTCCCATCTTGCACAGGAGCCCAAATGACAGAAGGCATCAAGGTGGTCCTTGGGCCAGAGACCCAGCACTGCCAACAACATCATGGCAAAGGTTGGAGCTCAAAAGCACCGGCTGCATTGTGGCATTCAAACCGCAGTCAGCCTTGAGGAGGAGGAAGTTTGCATCAGTAGGAGTCCCCAGAGGCACCATGACTGACTCATTCTGAATTCCTCTGAGGGTGCTGGGCAAGTTTGTAATGAAAGCCTGGCTTGAGGGGGAGGAGGAGGGTGCAATGCTAGTTAATGTGGTGTAGAACTCAACACCTCTGGAACACTAATGATCTAGAGGGACACAAAGAGTAACATTGGCTGTAAGTCTTGAATAAGGGCACAGGTGAGGTATCACCGTAAACTTCTGCTCTTTTGCTTGGGAGACAAGTGTGGCCACAGTCCAGCCTTCTGTATGGACTCAAACATCATCCCACGCTTACACTTCTAGATTGTAAATTGATTAAGAAAAGACACTACAAATGCACATGAGCTATGGACAAAGCACATGCAGAAGAATGAGAAAATGGCACTCAGATCTCACAAGGAAGACGATTTCAACAGCTGTCTGTTAGGTGCCAGGATAGAAGAGACTGATGAGGCTATAAGGATACCAGGTAGATGGAGAGGGAGTAATGAACAGAAAGCTGGGAAGGACTACCGATGTCACTGGGTACAGTCCCAGCAATGACTGTCACAAACATTTCATCCAAACGAGTCCACAGAACAACTACTAGTGCAACAAAGTAGACTCATCCCAAAGCACGTCGAAGTGACAGTTCAGAGGCATAAAAGCAAGGAGAAAAAGGATGAAGGAAAAGCAGGAAGAGAGGATTCACAGGAGTTCAGGCATCCCTTCCTTCAGCAGCTCCTGGACAGCTCATTTCAAAGCTGCAGTGCCTTTGCAAATGACTAACACACAGCCAAACACGCTCCCTGACATCCTCTAAGGACTGTTCTCAAAGGAAGACAGGCTTTCCTCTGCTCGCCGTGCATTAGGTGAAACTGTCTGACACACTTCGCAAGTGCAAATTAGAACCACGCCACTTACCATCAGCCCATTCTTGCAAATTCATATTTGCAAAGAGAGCAAACTAGAAACCCCAGGTGCTGATAAGGCAGAGTCGTTAAGAGAAACCAGAGTAGGAAGGAGTTAAATTCAGAACCTCAACTACCACAAGTATAATACTACAAAATCTTTTTTTTTTTTTTTTTTTTTTTTTTAAATGGGGAAAGCACAAGAGCCTTGTTTAAATACAGATGGAAGTACCTAAATGCACTGCCTCTCTACAAATGAATTACCCAGCAGTTCAAATAAAGGTGAACTAACACTAACTGACAAAATCAAGTAGAACTCAATGAATGCGGGAGGAAAAAACCCCCGATAACGCTTCTCCTAAATAAAGTTACCATGCGTAACTGTGAGGGGAATCACTTTGCTTGGTGACTCTTGCCCCATCTACGTGAATGCAGTGACAGTTTATAAACAACTTGCAGGACTTTCTTGTACCAACCACCGTATGAGAAAGTCTGCGCCACTATCACAAACTCAAGCTTTTCAAGGGACCTGGCTGTCAAATTTGGATACCTGAATTCAAAGCTGCTTTGGTGGAGAAACCTAAAGTTCAGATTATCTGTATGAATCTTCATTCCGTGGAAATTATTTAAATAGATCTTAAATCTCATTCAGCATATACATACAACAAAAAAGTTATTAAACAGGTACTAGAAATGAAACATTGTTCTACCAAAATTAGTCTTTAATTCTATACCATTTGTCAGGGTTAAATCTCAAAGGGAACAAAGTAACTGCAGTCTACATTAGGAGTATGACTGCATGATCAGCTGGAAGCCTTATGAAAAGGACTCTCCCTTTATTTTGTGTATTAGTATTTCCTATAGTCCCTTCAGTTACTCAGTTTCACAGATCTGTTCCAAAATGCCTACACAAAGTTTATCACATTCTATTCAATTCTCCAGGCACTTTTCATAAAGGTACAGTTGAATAGCTCTAGCTCTTTAGCTGTCAAATTATCACTTATAAAGATACATTACTCCAGCTCAGTGGTTTTCAACCTTTATGCTCTGCAGCCCCCAAATGCCTTTCAGGAGGGACGAGCTCCTTCACACAGAGAGTTAATCTACTGACAATAAACACAGGTTTTTTTTTTTTAAAGTTACCTTTCACAGAATTCTTCTTAGTTCCCTTAGGAGTGATCCACGGACCCCCAGGGTTTGCGAGCACAGGTTGAGAACCAGTGCTCTAAGCTAAGGCTGCCTTTTTCAAGCATTTCAGCCACAATTTACTCTATGAGAGACAACCCCCCTTCCTCAAAAGGCAG